ATTCGATTCTGCATTTTATTCTATTCTATTTTGCATTCTATTCTACATTCTATTCTATTCTATTCTATTCTACATTCTATTCGATTCTGCATTCGATTCTGCATTTTATTCTATTCTATTTTGCATTCTATTCTACATTCTATTCTATTCTATTCTATTCTACATTCTATTCGATTCTGCATTCGATTCTGCATTCTATTCTATTTTGCATTCTATTCTATTCTATTCTATTCTGCATTCTATTCTGCATTTTATTCTATTCTATTTTGGATTCTATTCTATTCTACATTCTATTCTATTCTATATTCTATTCGATTCTGCATTCGATTCTGCATTCTATTCTATTCTGCATTCTATTCTATTCTATTCTATTCTATTCTATTCTACATTCTATTCGATTCTGCATTCTATTCTATTCTATTCTATTCTATTCTACATTCTATTCGATTCTGCATTCGATTCTGCATTCTATTCTATTTTGCATTCTATTCTATTCTATTCTGCATTCTATTCTGCATTTTATTCTATTCTATTTTGGATTCTATTCTATTCTATTCTATTCTGCATTCTATTCTGCATTTTATTCTATTCTATTTTGCATTCTATCCTATTCTACATTCTATCCTATTCTACATTCTATTCTATTCTACATTCTGTTCTATTCTGCATTCTATTCTATCCCTGACCCTTCATGATGGCCACCTGGACTTCCCAAGCAGAAGGCCATCAGCCATGGGACTGGCTTCAGCAGAAGGGGCAGCTTGCTCCATTGAGGACCAGCCCCATCACTTTGGGACCCAGGGGACCACCTGCAGTTTTGACCTATATGGCCCTGGATCCTTAGTCTGCTCTCCCTTCCTTCTCTCCCATATGACGAGGAGCAAGCCCCCATCTCCCTCCCCCTCCCCATCTCACCAGGTGCAGGTAAGGGACAAAGTATCCCAGGATGGCTGTAGCTATGCCAAAGGCCCACACTCGGTACGTCTTTCTCCTGAAGACTCGCAAGTTGAAATATTTCCGCATCTGTGCCATGCATTGCTGCATCCAGCTCCGGGTGTCCAGTTTGATCTCCCTCTCTCGAGGACTTGAGACCGAGGGCAACATCGGGCGGAAAGTCAGGGACAAGAAGATCTGGACCAGCAGGAAGGCGCTCAGCATCTGGAAAGCGCGAGCCAGCTCAAAGGTTTTTCCCATGACTTTCAGGAGGAACGAGATGCCCACGGAGAAGAGGCAGCTGCCAGTGGTCACCAGTCCGTTGGCCAGACCGAGGCGTTGCTTGAAATAGTGGCCCAGAATGACCAGGGTGGGGTGGAAGGCGAAGGAGCTGCCACAACCAAAGAGGATTCCATAGGTGAAGTAGCGGACCTCCAAGGACCTGTGGAAAAGAAAGGGCCATAACAGGGTTTGGAAAGAAATTCCACAGTGTCTCTTCAAGTGCAGAGGCCTTCAAACTTGGTCCCTTTAAGACTTGTGGACTTCAACTCCCAGAATTCTCCAGCCAGCTATGCTAATTCTAGGAGTTGAAGTCCACAAGTCTTAAAGGGGCCAAGTTTGGAGGCCTCTGCTTTAGCGTTTTACCTTTCTAGCCTAATGAAAGAAGGATTAAAAGAAGAGGGTGACATGATGGCAGCGTTCCAAGACTTGACGGGCTGCCCCAAAGAAGAGCAGGGGGTCAATGTATTCTACAAAGCACCTGAAGGCAGGACAAGAGACGATGGATGGAAAAGAAACAAGGAGAGATCCAACCTAGAAATAAAGAGAAATTTCCTGTCAGAACAATTAACCGGTGGAATGGCTGGCCTTCAGAAGTTGTGGGTGCTCCATCACTAGAGGTTTTTAAGAAGAGATTGGACAGTCAATTATCTAGAATGGTCTCGGGTTTCCTACATGGACAGGAGCTTGGACTAGAAGACCTCCAAGGTACCTTCAGGTTCTGTTATTGTTCTGTTATTTTATTTAATTTGTCTTTTGCTCTGTTGTCCCAGTTGTCTGTCTTTCCATCTTGTAGGAAGTTGTCCAAGTGGACATGTGTAATTGTAAGACCGTCATCCTATCATCATCCAACTCTGTTTACTCTACTCTACTCTACTCTACTCTACTCTACTCTACTCCACCCTATCCTACCCTAACCTACCCTATTCTGCAGGTTGGTTGCTGGCTGTAAGCTGTGCCATAGAAACGCAGGAAAAGAAGAAGAGATCCCTTATTGGATGGTGATTAGAAGTGTGGAATTAGCTGGGACCATGATGGGAAAGGGTATTGTTTATTTATTTATTAGAGGTTTTTAAATCCCACCTTTATTACTTTATAAGTATCTCAAGGTGGAGAACAAACCTATCTTTCCCCACAAAATTACCCTATGAGATGGGTTGGGCTGAGAGAGAGTGACTGGTCACCCCACTGGCTTTTGTGCCTTAAACTCAGTTGTCTCCTGGTTACTAAGCCAGCACTTTCACCACTACATAAAACTGGCTCTTTGGTTTTGGTCGTTTTGTCTTTTGTGCTTTTCTACAAATGTAAATAAACAACAGTGACTTCCCAAGGCTAGGAGACATATTTGTTGATTTTAAATGATTTGTGATTTAAATCATTTGATTTTATTAATCAATGTTATTCATGATCTCTGAGAGCTATGGAGAGTGAGAAGGTGAGAGCAAGAGGAAGAAATGTAACTCCATTCAGATGGGCAGAGTGATTTGTAGTTCGATCTCTGTAAAAAAATAATAATAACTCGTCTTACTACGTTGTGTGAACATGATATCAGGTTATGTTGCAATATCATTTACTTTGGTACACCATCTCACATGAATAGAGTTGCTGTGGCCTGTTAACCTGCGTTGATTGAGGGTATGGTGGAAAAATGATGTAATGTTCTTTTTTATAAGAAGTCCAGCAAAGGAAGGAATTACAGGTAGTCCTCGCTTATTGACGAGGAGGTTGTCAGGTTGGGAAAGAGGATGTTCAAAATCCACAAGAGGAAAACCACTGAGTGTGTAATTCTTGAAGTCAGAAACTTGTAGGATTCTCTCCATGCTATTGAAAATCTCTTCTGGAGAAGCTTTTCTCTGCTTTTCTTATGCCAACGGCCTGTCTTAAATCTCCCCGAATTTGATGGGACAATTGCTACCACCACTGAACAAGTCTGTGGTGCACGGGTTTTAAATAGAATCTGAAATTAATACCAAACAACTGCTATGTTTACACAATTCCCTCAACTGCAAATAATTTGAACTGAGTTATTGGCTCTAAAAATTAGTCCAGCTAGGGAGGATTGCACAAATGTTGCACCATTTTTAAAATAAAATCACAGGATTGTTAATATTTATTTTCATATTTTTCCAGGAAATTATTTAGTTGAGTAACTAGGCTATAATTTATTTTAAGTCTGGATAATTTTAACTGTGCTTGAGGAAAGCTGTGGAAAGTCCAAAGAACAGCCAAAGACAAAACTAGAGATATTTCAAAAGGATAATAATAAGGAACAGGAAAGGAACCAAGTGTTTTGACCAGAGCCGCATAGGAGAATATAATGTGAGATAAATGTATTCTTCTCCAAAAAAACCCTTTGCTTTTCATCCTGATATTTAGAGCACACAGCCAAATCAAGTCAACAGAGATAATTTGTCTTCATTCCAGCTTATAAGAAAACACAAATCTCTTTCTTTAAAAATAAGGCATTTTATTAATGGTGCCAATTTGGAATAGCATTTATTTTAAAAGGTAAACAATCTGGATGAAAACATTTTGGACAGGCCAGTGACTTGCAATAAGCCAGAGAAAGACAAGCAGGAAAATTCAGAAAAGAATAAGTTGGCTTGAGCCAAATTTGTTGATAGTCCAATTACCTCCCCAGTTTTCAAATTGGCAAACATCCTTTTCAAGGGATAAAGATTCCTAGCCAGACATTCTGTGCCTTGGCCAGACAGATATGTGGGTCTGACATTCCTATCATCTAGGACTGCCTTAACTGGGCTACAAAATGCAGATGCCCACTTGTGAAGACATGGGGACCTGGGTGTTGGGAAGGGAATGGCATGAGGAGCGGGGTAAGGACTCCGATGTGGCAGAGAGAAACTATGCAGGATTCTGTTACTCTACCCTGCAGTGAGAAGAGCCCTCCAGGAATCCTGGTTGTTCCCTCTTTCTTGACCTGGCTGGCCTCCAAGGGCTGGTATCAGGAAAGGGCAGCCAAGGGAACCTCCTGGGGATTTCAGTAGGCCAGCCATGGTCGCCTGATCCCCCTGCCCAGCCGGCGCAGGCCAGGCTGGAGGCCAGAGGGAGCACCTGACCTTTTAGTGGCACGGCAGGAGCAAGGAAGGGAGAGTGTGAGCGAGGAGGAGGAGGATGCCCCTCAAATGGCAGGGCAGGAGCCACGGAGAAAGAAAGAAAAATGAAGAAATAAGGAGGGAGGGAGGGAGGAAAAAGAAAATGAGGACAGGGAATGTGGGAAGAAAGAGGGGAAGGGAGGGAGTAAGGAAGCATAAGGGAAATGGGAAAGACAGGGAGGGAAGGGAAGGAAGGAAGGGCAAAAAAGACAGGACGGAGGGAAGAGGGGGAGCCATGGTTTTGGAGCTGAGCTGGTCCTGGGGGGAAGAATGTTCCCTTCCAGAGATCCCAGGAGTTGCTGCCATTCCATCAGGCCATTGCACTGGCATTTTATAGAGCCCCCCTGCTTCTCCGCAGTGAGGTCCTTCAGGAGCACCAAGCCTGGGAGATGTCTAAGATTTGGGTGCCTGGAGATTCCTCAAGATTTGGGTGCTTGGAGGTTTTTTTTGGGGGGGGGGAGATGGGGCTTGCTTTGGTTGGAGGACAAAGGGTTCAGACATGGGAAGAGCCCCTCAGGCCAGGCCTTTGCTGGTGAGCCTTGTGGGACCCCCCCCCCTGCACCCTCCATTTCAGAGCCTTACTTGGTGAAGGAACTGGAGAGGAGGCCGATGAAAGCGATGGCGGCTCCCGAGGCAGCCGTGGTCCGGCATCCGATCCGATCGGTGAAGATGCTGACGATGGGAGAGCAGAAGAAAACCATCCCCATGCCGATGGATCCAACCAAGGCTGCAGGAAGGGAAAAGAAAGGAAAGGGGAGGAGGGGTCAGCCATGGGGGTCAGCCCACGCAACGTGTCAGGAAGTGAGGGAGAAGCCCAGGATGGCTGGTGGCTTGGAGAAGAAAACCCCCCTGGATCTGGGAGCAGAAGGAAGAGGTTTCGATTAGGGTCCCCCTCCTTGGAAGCTCAACCTGTGAGGTAGTCTAGGTTGAGAAAGTGGCCCCAGGGAGGCTCTCCTAGACCTTTTCTGTGGCTGGGAGCAGACTCGAACCCGAGTCCCACTTGCCAATCCAAAACCTTCACTGCTTTGCCACTTCAGTAGTCCAAGACTTATTTATTTGAACCCTAATTTGCTCATGAAAAAAGTTTAGTTTTAGTTTAGTTTAGCTTACTTCGTTGTCATTGCACCTCGTACAACAAAATTAAATGCCATCTTCAGTGTGCAATTTATGACTATGAAAATAAACACAAACACACATCCTTCGCATCCTATACACTGAATGGAAAACCTCTGATATTGCATTCATATTGCACGAGAGACAGTGGAATTCCATAGAGTTGCTGCCCTGGGATAGAAGCTGTTTTTCAGCCGATTTGTCCTTGTTTTTGTTAATATCCTGTACCGTCTGCCAGATGGTAATAGTTCAAAAAAAAAAAAAAAGGTGGCCAGGATGAGATGGATCTTTGAGTGTGTCTTGAACTTTCTTAAGACAGCAGGAGCTATAAAGCTCTGCCAAAGAGGGGAAAGGGCAACCCATGATCCTCTGGGCAATGACGTTCACCCTCTGGAGCGCTTTCCTATCTGCCCCTATGCAATTGGCAAACCATACACAGGTGTGCAGTAAGATAAGATCCTCTCTGGTGCAGCGGTAGAAGGTCACCAGCAGTTTTCCATTCAGCTGTTGTTTCCTGGGAAGCCTCAAGTAGTCTAATCTCTGCTGGGCCCTTTTGACCAGGGCTGCAATGTGAGCATCCCAATGTGAGCAAAAAGGCTTTTCAGCTTTGGCTTTAAAAGAAGCAGCCTCTGGCGGTAAATCTGGATTGCTTTCCTGCAATACCCGGATTGCTTCACTGCAAGGTGAATTCCCGGGTTGGTAGATCCAACCAAGTACCTGGGCTTGACCCAGATCTCCACGGGCCATCAGTTCACACGCCCAGGCAGTATTGGATCAGAAGGGAGAAGCCTTGCCTGATGCTGGGTTTCCCCCTTTCTTTCCACATTCATCAGGAACCCTGACCAACCCCTCCTTTCTCTGCAGGGACAGCCAAAGCGCTGAATATGTCTCTGCAGCCCCTCCTTCCTCCACTGGCCGGGGAGGGGGCTCTCACTCCCACTGCCCTTGACTCTCAACATGGCTGAAATGGTCATTGTGCAAGTTTTATATATGCGTGCATATCTATGAACATATTCCCTCTTTTTCTTTTCTTTCTTTTCTTTCTTTTAATATATTCTGTTTTTCTTTTCTTTCTTTTCTTTCTTTTCTTTTTTATTTCTTTCTTTCTTTCTGCACTCTCTTTGTCCTCCCTCCCTCTCTCCCTTTCACTGCTGGCAATTTAAAAAGTGTATTGATTTCACATTTTGCTTTTTGGATGGGTTCACTACCGAGTGTTGGGTTGACTGGTTTTTCACTGTAACCCTATGGATGGGCGGGGAGGATGTCATTCTTTTTTAAAAATACATTTTCTTCCAGAATTAAAGCACTTTGCAGAGGGCTCCTCCTTCAGCTACTGACCAGCTGCAAACTGATGTAGCTTTGACAGGGTTTGGTCTGATTTTAAACACAGGTGAAGACAGTAAACCAGCTTGGTTGTCCCTCCCCTCAAAAAAAGTACAGGTAGTCCTCAAATTTATAACCATTTGTTTAGTGGCAGCACTGAAAAAGTGACTGATGCCCACAGGAGCATCCCTACATTCACCTGATCCAAATTTGGGCAGGTGGCAACATGGCAAATGTCCCAGAATCATTTGATCTCCATTCGTCACCTTCCCAGCCAGATCCCTTAACAACTGCAGTGATTCACTTAACAACCAAGGTTGTAAAACCGGATGCAACTCATTTAATAATTCCTTTGGTTTGCAACAGAAATTTGTGGTCTTGGTTAAGGACTACCTGTATGGATCTGATGATCACTGCATCCCAAAGTTTTGTGCCCCAATGACGACGCGAAGGCCCAGGAGAAGTATTCACACAAAACACGAAGTCAAGTTAGTGTTAATCCGGGTTAAAATGGTTGCAGTTGAATGGATTATGTGGACCTACTGTACCCCCTTTTGGATAGTTTATGACTCAAGATAGTACGCAGATCCCCCCAAAATGGACTTACTGAAAGGTTTGTGCAAATACCAAGCTGGTAGGAACCAACCTGTTTCCAAGCAATGAGGCAACCAAACTTCTGATTTATTTATTTTTATAAAAAAAACCTTTATTGGTTTGTTTTTCCAGAAGGAGAAAAGGAAAAAGGAAGTTATGTTTTATGCTTATCCTTCCTCCCTCCCCCCTCCTCAATCCACTGAAGTCACGACAAAAATATCCCCTTGAAATAACCACCCATTACATCACCGCGAGGGAACTTCAAGCATGATCGTGAGAAAGCGCCTACTCCGGGGATTTGGCGTTTCCCCTTTCCCCCCCTCCCCAGGACAGGAAAGGGGGCACAATAGCTCAACCGCCAGCCTGCTGGTCCAAAGGCTGCCGCACATCCTCGGCCCCGGTTGGAAACAGCATCGGCCTTCCCCTTGGGGGGGCTTCAGCTGGACAAAGCAACGCACCAACAGAGGAAGGGACGCTTTTCTCGCTCGCTGTTGCAAAGCAGGACTTAGAAATGTTCCTTTTAGAGAACATGATAATTTGGGCCAAAAACTTTGGTTATGGTATTGATTTGGAACAGCGGGAAAAACTACGGCAGGTAAATGATAAATTAATGTCATATAAGGAGAACCTTTACAAAATGTTCTATTGCTGGTACCTCCTTCCAGCGAGGTTAGCTAAAATGTTTCCCACTATGTCGGCAAAGTGTTGGAAATGCAATTATAGCCAAGGAACGTATTTTCATATGTGGTGGACTTGTCCCCAAGCCCGGAAGTACTGGCTTAAAATTAAAACATGGTTGGAAGAAATAACGAGACAAAGGATTGAATTAAGACCAGAAATGTTTTTATTAGGTATATTAGGATCTAATTACAAGAGAAACCTCTAATATATCACACTCCATATGGTAACCGCTGCCAGAATCACATTTGCTCAAAACCTAGAATGTGCTGAAATGGACAGGCTAATGATGGTATTGAAGACAAAGAAGAAACTATAATATATGGAATGTTTGGTATAAGTGGTTAGAGAGAAGACACAAAGGCATCAATTGATAGCAAATATGAGAATGTGTTATTTAATGTTACACACACACACACACACACACACACACACGGGATACAATTAAGATGAAGGGAGGTACTAATACCACTCTATAAAGCCTTAGTAAGACCACACCTAGAGTACTGCATCCAGTTTTGGTCACCACACTATAAAAGAGATGTTGAGACTCTAGAAATAGTACAGAGAAGAGCAACCAGGATGATGAGGGGACTGGAGACTAAAACATATGAAGAACGGTTACAGGAATTGGGCATGTGAAGAGATGGACCAGGGGAGACACAATAGCGGTCTTCCAATATTTGAGGGGCTGCCACAGAGAGGAGGAAGGGAGTCAAGCTATTTTCCAAGGCACCCAAAGGCCAGACAAGGAATAATGGATGGAAACTGAACAAGGAGAAATTCAACCTGGAAATAAAGGGGAAACTTTCTGACAGAACAATCCACCAATGGAACAGAAGTTGCCCTCGGAAGTTGTGGGAGCGCCATCACTTGAGACTTTCAAGAAGAGATTGGACTGCCATTTGTCAGAAATGGTGTAGGGTCTCCCACTCTGGCGGGTGTGTGTGGACTAGATGACCTACAAGGTCCCTTCCATTGATTATTTGTTAACATGACATCTGAGTAGCAGAGAATACACACACGCACACACACACACATATTAATAGTGATATAAGTTAAGCTGAGAAATAAGAGTACAAGTGAACAGAATGGAGAAGTAATCAATATAGTTATAGACTTTGTTAATTAGTGTGAACACTGTTACAGAATCGTTGTAAAGAGTGGAAATTGGTTTTAAATGTTGGAATGTTGAATAAATAAATTATTTTTTAAAAAATGTTCCTTTTACTGGTGGTCCTCGACTTACGGCCACCACTGAGCCCAAAATTTCTGTGGCTAAACTGTTAAATGAGCTTTGCCCCCATTTTACGTCCTTTCTCGCCACTGTTGCTAGGTGAATCAGTTGTTTAGCAGCGCTGTTGTGAAGTGAATCTGGCTTCCCCATCGGCTTCGCTTGCCAGGAGGTTGCAAAAATGAGATCACATGACCCCAGGACCCTGCAACCGCCATAAGTATGAGTCAGTTGCCAATTATCCAGATGTTGATCATGTGACCATGGCGGGGATGCTGCAACGGTGTTAATGGTCATAAGTCGAAGGGTCTTCGGTCACGAAATGAATTGCTGGACTAAGCCATCTCGACTGGAAAAAGCAAGCACTGAGCTACCTATCTTGGAAAGTTATTATGGGATGCCTTCTGAAATGGTCCTGATTTTAGGAGGGATTTGGAGAATTGATTTGCCAGCCAGCCAGAAGGAAAAACAACAGCAAAAATAATATGTTTCTTCTTAAGGCATATAATCTGGAGTGGAAATTTGATTGTTCAGTTATGACCATCTTGATTTTCTTTTATCCCCTCTATGGCCACCTCCGCATGTGGTATTACCTTGCTTGCTTTATGACAATGTTATTATGGGCTTGCAGAAAAGGGATATGCTAACTGTCCACCCAGGGGGTCTGCAGAGTATGGGGAGGGGGGAAATCAAGATGGGTATGATGGTGAGATCAAAGCAATACCCCAAAGAAGGACACTTATACTTTAATGATACTTTTGTGGTTGCCATCTTGACCCTATATT